ATATATATATATATATATATAAAACTTATAGCGATCATATGTGCAAACCACGAAAACATTATTCGATACTTTAATGTTTAAATATACATGTACATACATAGAAAAAAATATAAACATATATATTTATATATAGTATGATATAGAGTACGGTCAACGCGATGTTATAAATGCTCTAAAATGTTTTCTGACTGATCAATTCGTAAAATTCTTTCTTCTAATTGGTCAATCAAACGCTTTAAAGTATTTATAGTGAGACTTTGATCGCAGCAATAATAAATCATTTCACTAAAACATGTGCTGGAAAAAATGTGGATAAATGTTTAATATAATGTCTTCTCCTTTTTTCCCTATAATTTTGTAAATTAAAATAGACAGATAACTTTGAAACAATTTATTAATTATATTTATATATTTTAATAATATATTTTGATTAATTGTCAAGTTTAACATGACTGACGCTGTAATTTTTACATTTTTGTTGACTGTAATTTCAAATTTTGATTTTTGTTGACTACTTTTTTCCTAGTTTAAAATATCATCTGGTTTGTTTTCAGATTCAAGTTAGACATTGCAGTGATACGAGACCAACAATTGCATATGAAACAGAGGAAGAGAAATCTCTTCGTTTACATTACTTAGGTACCTTACTTAAGCTTCAATACCTGAGATTATGTGAATTATCATAGAAATATTTATTTATACAATTGTTGACAGTTAAGTAGAAGTTTTACAAAATCTATGTATTTATAAATCTATGTATATATTATATCTATAAATAAATTGTGTTAAATACAATGTAAGTAATACAAAAACGCTCATTATGGCATCTGTACAATCGGGCGGTGTTAATAATCAGATTGTGTACATGCGATTGTAATTACACGTATCTCTTTTCAGTCTTCAATTAATATTCACAAATTTCCAAATGCGATTTCCAATAATCTGCTTAAAATTAGCAGTTTTTACAGTGTTTGCTAGAAATCAGTGCAAATCTAGAAAACTTGTAGAAAAATCTTACTTTAACCTTTTCAGGACTATACAAATTGATTTATCTCTTCTTATATAAGAATTGTTACTTTTCTATAGAAAAAATGAAAATGCTTTTTTTACATTACAATTCGACGATAAACATTTGTATCACAATTCATCGAACAATTTTTTAAAATGTATCACATTACCTGAAACGTAAACTTGCGAAAAATAAAAAAAAACGGATACATGGTCTATTCTGTATGAAAATTCATAAATACGGAAATATATATGTGAATAAATAAATAAATAAGTCTCTTTGAATACACAGAATATGGATTATAACGATTATAAGGTAGACGAATCTGTTTCACAGTGTAAAATAGGAGAGAATCGCATCACAGAGAGAATCTTGTTGGACTTAAAGGTGGAAATACGCGAGAAAAACTCTTTGTACTTGCATCCGTTTGTATTAAAAAATGAGACTGACAATGAGTCGAAAAAGTGCCCGTGCTAATAAATAGAAATCTGAATTAAATAACCAAGCAGACTGACGCATAGTACTTAAGAAAGCAATCTGTGAAGAATTATCCAGTAAGTCGAAAGCAAACAAGCAAACGCGAAAAATATGAAGTTTATTTAAAAGTTAGATTCGTTGTTATTTAGTGAAGAATTATTTTATTTTCTGATCTAGATCGATCGTTTGCATCGAGGACACACAGATTATTGCAATGGACCTCCGTTTGGCTGGCATATGAAACACGAATAAGAACAAAGATTGCGACACATTAGGAATCTACATAAAAATGTTGCGCTTGTGTCATACCCTGCCTGCATATAAAACTAAGTCTGAACAGTAAGCGTAGTTAACACTGACTCGATTTTACTGCGGCGGCCTCTTGTGTAAACCCCAGCCATGAAAGCATTTTGTAAATCTTCTAGATTCTTTACCTTTGGCAGTTAAAAATAACTTACGGGATTTGTCAGGTTGCTTTACACGCAAGTGTTGAATGTATACCTGGAAGAAAAAGAACATGTTAAATTGTTGATATTTTACATCGATCTGATCCTCCATTTAGAATTAATTTACTTTGTAAAATATTTGTAGCATTTTTATAAAAATTATGACGATTAAACTTGCATAACTTACCTGAGCTGACTTATAGGCCAGTTTAATTTCAACTTCTGAACAGCGAGTACCCAGCCAAAGAAATACTTGTTCTCCATTATCGAGTATCATTATATCATCATCTGCCAAATCGTCCTACAAAAAATAACTCATTATTTATTTATTATAAAAAAATCCGAAGAACTCCGACAATATATCAGAAGCTATTGCTATTAATATTGAAATATTTTCCTATTTGAAATTGAAAATTTACTTGACAAAAATCGGTGCACTTCTCGCTGATTGTAAAGTACCCCTTCTCATTGGAACATCTAAATAATCTTGTGTAATTCATAAACTCTGCATCAGTGTCGTATGGTTTCTTCCCCCCAAGCGCTACCCAGAAAAAATTGTCTGGTTCCTCGCCTTCGTTTAATACTTGCAGGCTTATCCATGGCTATATCCAATTTATATTTATTACCAACAATGAAAGACAAAAACATTTTTTCATCTATAAAGTACAAAATTTATTTCGGAACAAAAAGAATACTTAAAGGGGAACACCACCTTGAGATCTAAAAATGATAGTTAACTTTGGCAGTTTTTTGCAGTAAACTAATAAAGTCAATAAAAAATCGTTTTTAAGGGCTTTACTATATGAACTTTCGAGAGTACAAAAAAATTTTTTTTGAATTTTTATCACACAAAATGGCGACGCTATATCAACAGCATCGAGCCTCCTTTTTTGGCGAATGCATATGCAGTGTACATAGAATTTTCTATATCTTTTGATGTGGAACAAAACTCCAAAATTTGTTATTATCTACATACTTAAAACTAGAGAAGTACATAGGATTATTTAAAAATATTTATTTTTGTAAAAATAGTAATGTTTGAAAAAAAGTTCGATCAAAAAATTTTATCTTTAAATGTTAATAATAAAAAAAGTTTTCAATATATTACAAAAATCTTATGTACTTCTTTAGATTAAACATCTGAGAGTAAACATCTGCAAATTTCAAGTAAATCGATTAAGAATTGTAAAAGTTGTATCGTGTACGGTCAGGGCTAAAAAGGTTGCAACACTTTTTTTTTCGATGGGTTTCGGAATGCAGCCTACTCACCGAGCATTGGTTCTTATTCATGAATCAAACAAGAACCAATCGAAAAAAAGTGTTGCAACCTTTCTGGTCCTGACCGTACACCGACTTTGAAAACCTCATTTTGAGAAAAACGCGTTTAAAGTTTTAAGAATTGATTTTTCGTTTATAAGATTATAAATCGGAATTGTGCCTTTAGTTTGCAATGCCTGTGCCATACACTTTACAAGTGGCAACATCTGTCTGCCAAAACCTGTTTCTTTGAAAATTTAAGTTTCCTTTTATCTGCAGAGTTCTGCTGCACGACACTCACCGCTTGGAGCAGACTCAGCGACGAGGTGAGACGATATAAGATATTGGTTCTAATGGGATTATACAGTTGAGATACCGACTTAGGTAATTATGCAGTATAAAGGACCATCCTCTAATGACCTTGACATATGTTGTCATGATCTCGAGTGACCTTGAACAAATTTTAGCCGTCGTTCGTTGTTCGTTAAAAAGTTATTAACAATAAAAGTTCTTCAATAAAACCTAACTTTTGGACATGACTGCGCTCCGATGAGATAAATTCCCTGCTTTAACAGCGCGCAAAATATTTTTTTATATAATTTGTGTCTTTAGAGCAGCTAAATGTTTTTGTTTATTTGATTCATTCAGTATTTATATTTTCAGAATATTGAGTATTCCTTAGTCAAAGAAAGCGTCTAATCGTTCATGTTTATCAAATGCTTTTTTGAACATGAATTCTGCAAGGTAATAGACGAAATGGGATTGTTTACCATACCGAGGTATAATTCCGCGAATATCTCTCCACAGACGTTCAATATTTTGAGTATGAACGCCTGTGTCTGGATCAACAAAATTTTGTATGGATTATTGATCCAGGAGCAACATTTTTTTGGATGAATGGTAATGTTTGTGCGTCACGAGATTCAATTGGTACGACATTCTCTGCTTTAAAAATACAAATTCTCTGATAAATTCCCTGCTTTAACAGCGCGCAAAATATTTTTTTATATAATTTGTGTCTTTAGAGCAGCTAAATGTTTTTGTTTATTTGATTCATTCAGTATTTATATTTTCAGAATATTGAGTATTCCTTAGTCAAAGAAAGCGTCTAATCGTTCATGTTTATCAAATGCTTTTTTGAACATGAATTCTGCAAGGTAATAGACGAAATGGGATTGTTTACCATACCGAGGTATAATTCCGCGAATATCTCTCCACAGACGTTCAATATTTTGAGTATGAACGCCTGTGTCTGGATCAACAAAATTTTGTATGGATTATTGATCCAGGAGCAACATTTTTTTGGATGAATGGTAATGTTTGTGCGTCACGAGATTCAATTGGTACGACATTCTCTGCTTTAAAAATACAAATTCTCTGTGCTCTAAAAACGAATTATAAGAAAATATTTTGCGCTGTTAAAGCAGGGAATTTGTCTCATCGGAGCGCAATCATGTCCAAAAGTTAAAGACGAAATGGGATTGTTTACCATACCGAGGTATAATTCCGCGAATATCTCTCCACAGACGTTCAATATTTTGAGTATGAACGCCTGTGTCTGGATCAACAAAATTTTGTATGGATTATTGATCCAGGAGCAACATTTTTTTGGATGAATGGTAATGTTTGTGCGTCACGAGATTCAATTGGTACGACATTCTCTGCTTTAAAAATACAAATTCTCTGTGCTCTAAAAACGAATTATAAGAAAATATTTTGCGCTGTTAAAGCAGGGAATTTGTCTCATCGGAGCGCAATCATGTCCAAAAGTTAGGTTTTATCGAAGAATTTTTTTTGTTAATCTAACTTTAACGAACAACGAGCGACAGCTAAAATTTGTTCAAGGTCACTCGGGGTCATAACCTTGACAATATATATCAAGGTTATTGGAGGATGATCCTTTATACTGTATAATTACCCCGACTTAAAACTATTGAAATAGAATATTTCTAACAATATGAACTATAAATTTAAGTAAAAAAAATTTTTTTCGATTTTTTCAAACCTCAAAGGTGGTTCCCCCTTAAATATTTGTTAAGTATTTAAATATTTAACAGATATTTATATTTGCAATTTGCATAAGTTGAACAAAATCAAACTTAAGCTCTTTGAGATCTAAGCACGAAACAGTTATAACTTACATTGTTGAACATTTCCTCTGCTATTTCTCCGATTAGACGAGCGTCTTCGGGATCAGCTCTCGATCCAATCCACGCGTACACAATACCAGTTCCTTCGTCAGAATTGTTAAATGGCACATTTAAAAGATAACTGCAAACAAAAAAAGATAAGATGTATACTTTACAAATGGAATTTAATCATGCGTACTTAACGGAATGTCTCACCAGAAAACAGGATTCAATAACGTTGAATCCGCCGGTATTTGAATGAGCCGAGTACATAAGGCACTACCATTACTTCGCAGATGATAGAACTCTACTTTGTTACTACCTGCAGCTTTCGGCTGTTTACGTTTGCCTTGATGAATGATGAACTTTCGTTTGAAGTAACTCATAAACTTGAGATTTTCTTGCTGTTGATGTGTCCTAACAACCTCCAGGTTTTCCCCGAACAATGATTTAAATTTCTTTTGCAGGCTGAAACAAAAAAGATATAATTCACCTGATATTGACAATTATGGATTGGATAAATCTGTGAAACATAAATCTATAGGAATCACAGATTAAATAAATGTATCTATGGTCTTTACCTAAATGTAAATGTCAACCATCCCATATTTCCCGCGTCTCTGCCTTGCCAGAAATACACCGTGCACTGATAATCGTCTTCGTATTGCTCCTCACCGTCTTCGTTTTCCGTTATATCTATTGGCTGGTTTAATTAAAAGCAAAATGGCAATTAACCATAAATTTGATAGCTTTGCAATGATACATTTTACGTACCATCCAATATCGGCATAAGAAAACATAACAATCTGCACTGTAAAAATGTCCTAATTCTTCCTCCGGTAGGCGTACAAATTTTTTTCCTTCTAACACTAATGCTTCCATTCCCTCCAAATCATCATTCCATTCCGCCATGAGTTGATATGCTTCGGCAGCCGACATCAATGGTTGTCGTGGCATGAATAAAGCGGCCAAATCCGCCTAAAAATTGAATATGAAAAAATAAATAAACAATTATCTTAAATAAAAATATAATAAAACAAAAATGCAATTATTATAAAATGTAAACGTACCTTTGTTTCCTGTTGCTTAGCCCATTTAGTGAGATCCGCTCCAGTTTTAGCGACCGATTCAGCCGTTCTAGTGAAGTCCACTGCGATCACTTCGTCCCATCCGGTAAATTTAGACTTAAAGATCTATATGATGCATAAAGCAAGTATTTTTTAATAAAGAGTTTATGAATTGAATTTTTATAAATTGAGTTAAAAAGCATATTCATACCTGTGATTCAGTACCTTCTTGCAATCTCGTTACCATCGCATATTCTGGCCTTTCTATCATATTAAATAATTCTTGAGATAGTTTCACAGCAGCGGCGCGTACTAATCTCGTTGATTTTTTACCAAACCTAAAAGTGTACGCATAATCAATTTAGTCAATATAGATTTAAGAGATTTAGATTTAAGGAACACATTCTCTACACTTACCAAACATATACATCTAAATAGCAATCTAATATATACACATTGCGATTATTTAGCAAAGTATTCGTTAACTTTCCGTGAGGAACTTCGACCTGCGGAAGTTCCAGATAACCCATTCCGAGTTGAACTTGATATAATCTGGGCACGAGAGGCACAAAATTTGGATCTACATGTTCCTATTGTAAAAGTAAACGAGATGATTAACATAATATACAGGATTGAAGGAATAATTATTAAATACATTAAAAGTAAGATAAATTAAATAAAATTTCAAACTTATGTTTAGATAGTATAATTATATTTTTATTACTGCTACTACGTATATTGTAGAAAGGAAGCTTACAACAATTTGCAGATTTTTCTGTTCGTACTCTTCCACTCCTAAATGCAGCAGGAACTCCTCGGACTCGGCACCCATGACGTCCGTTAGAATCTCGGCTTTATTTTTCCGTTCGTTCTTATTAATTTTCTCTGCCATCAGTCGCGCCTTTGATTTTAACGTGCTCTTCGCTTTCTTCCCGTACCACATGAATATCTTATTTCCAGTATCAAGAACAAATACATAACCGGGATCCAAAGATTCGATATATACTGGAACTGGTTCTAAATGTATAGAAGCTCCCGCTGCGTGTACTCTATATAAACGAGTAATCGCTGGCTGAAAAAAAATTCAATGTGATTTAAAGTTCCTCTTCGAAAATTTATATAATTATGGTATAAGAATTAAGCTTACTGTATCTTCCACTGTGTAAAAACCAGACGATGTGCGACCGCCTTCGATATAAGTGATGCCCGAATCAAACAGCATCAGAAATTCATCCGATTCATCCCCTTGTTCTTCCCTAATCGTTCGACATTGAGCGCCTAAGTAGTTTCTCAGATTTACGGCGTGAATCGCTGCACACGCTCTTTTATCTAACTATGAGAAGAGTTGTTATTAAATTAATCGTATTCGGTTCATGTGTGCAATAATCTACATGAAATAATTTATTCAATTTTAACTTTTTTTCTATTGCTCTGATTCAAAAGTACAGTATACATACTGTCGCCTTTTCTCCAATCCAGAAATAGATCGCCCAGGTCAATGATCCACCTTCGTCTACCCCAGTTTTCAGGATGATGTAACAATCGCCTTCATAAAACTTGCCGTGCGCTACCTCCTCGATCTCATTCGGCAGAAAGTTCTCTATCTCCCAGATCGATAAACCGGGTATTTGACCTGCGTCTTCGTCAAAAAATTCGGAATAATCCAACGGTGGTTTCTCTAAAGCTTCATCCCATCGCTTGGGTCTAAAGTATTAATCATTAATTAATAGTATGATGTAAAAAATTAATCATTAATTTATACGAAAAATATGAGAAAAATCTACATCGGAAAACAAAAATGATATACATTAAGAAGTTCATAATTCTACTCACTTCAGGGATTCTGCTTTTGATTCCTCGCATTCCTTATCCTTGTTCTTCTCTTTCGCTATGTCCTTCATACCCTATAAAAGCAATCATAATTGTAAGTTTCTTCGCATATAAACATTGCAATGTAACTAGTAAGATGATGACATACCTTAAGAATTTTTGCTTGATCTTGATCAGCTTCCTCCTGGTCTCTTCTTCTTCTCAATCTCATTTTACGCGCGATTGGATCTTTACTATCTATAATTAAAAAACGTGCTTTTATTTATATACAAAATAATAGATTTTGCTATTTTACTTTTTTTATGCTTATAATACGTACTAGCAGTTTGAACTGGAGCTGGTACATTAGCACCAGCAAGACGCAACTGATGCTGCAATGAGAAATCAATGTTGTAAAATTCAATTCCCGATCCCCTTTGTACTTCTGTCGGTTTTGGTGGCATCACTAAATTCGGATTGTCTCGCAAATCTAACTGTTCTAGATCAGTGAGAAGATGAATGGCATCCGGTACAGTAATCAATCGGTTTGACGTTAATATTAATTGCTTTAATGAGCCACATCTAAAAAAATATATATATATTTCTTTCTGTAATATTATTTAAAAGAAACAAAGATTTTTATTTTCCTTACAGCAAGATAATATAATAAAAGAATAAAAACCCACCTGCATAATCCTTCTGGTATCATTTCTAAATGATTGTTAGCAGCAGAAAAAACCTGCAAAGATGATAATTTTCCTATTCCAGAAGGTATGCCCTCAAAATCTAATTCATTATCATTTAAATACAATCTTCTTAATGTGAAAATCTTGCACAAAGCAGCTGGTATTGCACTTAATTTGTTTCGCGATACGTTCAGAGTCTCCAATCTCGTCCACAGTTCTAGAAGATGTCTTCTTATTAGTTCGTACAAAACTATATGACTAGGACAATTGTAAAAGTTCAATGTATTCACCAATCGCTGTTGACAATTCCATTATATGATTGTCACTCAAATTTAAACGGCGCAAATTCGACAAGGAATAAAGCGCATCAGGCACTCGGGGTAAATTATTTTGTGACAAATCTAACTCTTGCAAATTAGTTAAAGTTTCTAGACTAGAAGGTATATTATTCAATGTTCGTTGTGTGTCCCGCATTTGTAACGTCATTAAATTCATTAATGATGGCAATTGTCTAAAACAATATGAGAAAAATTAAGAAATTCTTTTTGGAAAAGAAATATTCCAAAGAGTGACATGAAAATTTTGTTTCTTACCTTAATTGAAAATGACCTAAGGGGTTATGATTCAGGTTTAAAGTCTGTAAATTAGCCAAACGTCGAGTCTGTGGTGGCACTGTTTCCAGTTTATTGTGACTAAGATCCAAAAATAATAAATCTGTCAAATGAATGAACAATGTATTTGGTATCGTTTCGATACTGAAAGAATAAAAATAACATTAGAACTTCCTCGATAATTTTTCCATGATCTAGTAACATATAGTTGTTGATACATACTGATTATGGCTTAAATTAAGATTGAGCAAGGAACGTGCTCTTTCTAGGCCTTCAGGTACCTCCTTCAAATTGTTGTGACTTAAATCTAAGGTTGTCAATTCCTCTAAATGAAATAATTCTGCCGGGATACCACTGGATTTAATATTATTATGCCTTATGTTCAGAGTCCTGAGACAGCCTAATTCTGTCAATTCTCCATATAAGCGTTCCAATTTGTTTTTGACAAGTGATAGATGTTCCTGATGAATGATTAAATGCATTAATATGTGATCCTAGTTAAACTTAAATAACTCGACAAATCTTTTTTCATTAAAGTTCATGCAAATAACAATGATATAATGATATAGAAATATTTTTTGTACGTTAACAAATATTGTCACATAATTTTTTCAAGTAATGCTTTACCAGTTTCAACAATTTGCCCATCTCCTCTGGGATCTCCGTCAAGTTTGTTTTGTCTAATTTTAGCCATTGTATTCCAGTCATAAGACGCACGGATTCAGGAAATTTGCCATCCTAGAAGTATCGAAAAACAATCTTTATTACTATTAGCTAATCCTAAATCTTATCTCAGCCAAGTTGAGATATTGATGGATCAAAAGTAGCATGTCATTCAGTTTTTAGTCATCTTTTTTTATACTAGAGCAGAGATAAATTATGCTTAATAAAAGTTATTACTATTAAGTGTTAACAAAGTTAATTAAATATTAACAAAATAAAATTTTAAAAATCCTAAAGAGAATCAGAGACATTATTGAAGCGTGTTTCAGAGGTTCTTTCGCATGGTTTTTCGAGGTTAACCTCTGTGGAAATCTTCGGTGGTACTCACGCCAAAGTCATTGCTGCTAAAGTCCACGCCTCGTACGAACGGCAGCACCCCGGTGTTCGCCATCGCGCTTACTGGTCGACTGCTGCACGACGACGACGACGACGACGACGACTTGTGTCGCCTGGAACACGACAATCACGTCCCAGAAACGGGTCCCGCTAAGTCATAAGTGTCGCGTCCATCCGTTGCCGATCCGACCGATCGTCAGGCAGTCTCCGCTAGTTCTAGCTGCGCTTTATCGCGCCATGCGTCACCGCGACCAGGATCGTCCGGGATCCAGGACTCGTTTTGGCGTCTCAACTGTCGCAGCGTCTCGATCGAGCGTGCCCGGGTGCCGGCACGACGTGCATCACGACTGGGACTATTTGGGACTATTGGGAGTACTAGGGCACGGATGACGATGACGACGGTTGGATGTGCCGCGGGGGACGGACTTTAACCGTGTCGCGATCCGGAATAATCCGGAGCGGACGGCGTTTCACTCCGTCGAGGGCACGATCATGCCCGTCGTTTCGCGACGGCCAGTTCGTGGCTCGGGATCGTCGGGAACGAGAATGTGAATCCCGTAGACACGAAACCGGCGTCGTGGGAATGAGGACCGATCCTCCGGCTTCGGCGCGACGATCGGCGTTTCGTTCTATATGAATGAGAAAAAAGAATAAAGTATTTCCGCAAGGCGCGGCATCTCGGCGGCATGTCTTTTTTCCTAATATTTTAATGTTAAAATGTGTATTTGCAGAATCAAGAGGGAATTTCCTCGCATTCCTGAGCTCTCATATGAGATGTGTGTAAATTGATGTAAATGTGACACGTGAAGTATGCGCGTATTCGAGACATTTGAGGCGTGCCGCGTGTTTCTTGCTATGCTGTCTATGTATTGGTGCGTCAGAACTGTTGGTCATTTGAGACCATGACATATATAATAAAATAATATATATTACTGGTTTTTATTATTATTATTTATTATTACATTATATATATTACTCGACATTATAATACATTTATTAAATATAATAAATATAATAAATATAATTATTATATCGAAGTTAACTCAGTTGATGAAAAAAACTCGAATTTTATATTTTTAAGAAGTTTTCACATATTTTAAATTTATAGATTTCTAACAAAAATTGACTTTAAACTATTCACGATTTTATAAATTTTCCTCGAAAATTATAGAATGAAAATTTTCAAAATTTACACAAAGAATTCTAACTAAGAGAGAGAGGGGTGGAGAGAGGGGGAAAGGAGGAAGAGAGAGAGAAAGAGAGACGATGTAGACTTTCTTAATTGTACTGCAAATACGTTATTATTATCATGTCTATATATTATAGTATAATGATAATAATAATAGTAGAGTTTAATTGCTGCAGAGAGAGATATTGGCTGCGTTCAGCAGAACGTTTGTTTTGCAACTGTTGGAAGTTTCCTTCGCGCTAATTGAATCATACTTTTAGATCTAGAAGAATGGTCCTATCTCAGCAGACAATCATAAAACGGTTGCAAAACTGTTGAGTCTGCTGAACGCAGCCATGGAGGTTACACGACAATTTTCATAAAAAAAAGAGGGGGTAATGTTGGTAGCAACAAAAACCCTTGAGGCACCATTTTATTTTCTACGGATTGGTAATGGCTACGTTTACATCGTGCATTTAGGCCGCGGCTTATACAATAGATGTTCTTGTTTATCCTGTAGGTTAAACAAAGATCGTCTAGGTCGCGGACTAAGCGCACGGTGTAAACATAGCCAATATTTACAAGTAATAATCCGTTAATTTGCGCCGATCATGGTTGATTGAGTGTAAAAGTAGTGTAATTACATGATAATTCGTGAACTGTTCGCGAACGGCTGTCATCGCGGGGGTTTCGTGTTTTGACAGTGTATCAAGAGGTTAATAATGTATAGTATTTCAGAGGTTAATAACGTATAGTATTTCAAAGAGTACATAAAAATATTTTGTATTTTGTGTTTCAAATATTAAGATTGACAATCAAGCTTATTATCTGAACAACAAAATACAAAAAAATGTTTCTATCTTTCATTTTGAATACTTTTATGTGCTCCGCTGAAATATAAAATACAATTTTATTACAAATATTATGATAAATTGATTGCCATTGCAAATAGCACCCTTAGGACTGCTATTAGTGATTATCCACTCTGATTCAGGTTTAT